ATCCGTAAAACGGCACCAACAATGGCCTTCACTTGTTGTGTGTACTATCCAACCGCATAAATACCGATAAACAAAGATTAGATCTTGCTCTGCAATAAATTCCTAGCCAAAATTCGGCCAAGTATATCAGACATTTGAGGCTACACAGTATATCTAAAATTAAATAGCTGAATTAAAAGAAAAGAAACTTAGTAGAAGCAAGTTAATTTATAAACTCTTTACACTCACTCTAGAGACAGACGTTTAAAATTGGGTGCATATAAGTAATATGGCTGTAATTCTGATTGAGATTAAGAGGATTGATTGGATTATAGAGAAATAATTTGGTCGCAACATTTAAAACATAAAAGGTTTTATTGTAATAATTATTCGTAGTTTTCTTGCATCAGTATAATACCGAAATACCTGTCACAAGAGGCAGCCATTGTGGTCTTCGAAAAAATAGGCTGTACAAATTGTTTGAAATCTTATCTTTGCGGGTGTTATTTGCAACTGTGTAGATTCCTCTTAATTGGTTTTTCTGTTGGTGGGGTAAGTTTTTCCACTTGGGCTCTATTGACTTGTGAGGGTTTTGCTCGTATATGGGGTCGCGGTGCACCTTTTGCATGACTTATTCTGATTTTGGTGTTTTCTCTACTTGTACTATTCCTTTAATTTTGCGCAGTTGTGGTTTTCTATTTTAGTGGACCAGCTTTTTATTATTTCAAGCTACTTTAACCTGCACACTTTCGTTTGAGACATTCTGTTTTGACTGACCGATATAAGGCTCTTTTGTCATCCTTCTTTTGCTGGCTTACTCTTTTCCCAGTGAGCTAGAGATTTGCTAAATTTTGGTGCTTTATTTACATTAAGAAGTCTCCTAGCTTAAATTTTTGTTCGTTTTACCTTTCTTTAGCACCATGGTGTGCGAAAAATGTAAGTTATCAATAAAGTTCTGCTGTTTGCATATCGTAAGTCTTTATTAGCTCCATTTTTTGTACACTTTTATGCTTCTCAATCTCACTCATCGGCGCAGTTTTGGTGTGCTTTTGTCATGCATTTACTTCTACTCCCGCTGATATTTTGGTGACCATAACTAACTTCCCTACAATTTAGGTGAGAAGAAGTTGGTGAAAATTGCAACACCTGACCCATGGAAAGCAGGTTCACGAGCTGCGGCAGTGAAAGGGCCGCGTCGGCTAAACGAGAATAAACTGCTGACGGCGAAGAAAGGTAGGTACAACCCCTACTCCAAGGCTTTCCGTAAATGTCGCATCTGTGGACAGAGCGTGCACCAACCAGAAGCGCACTATTGCCAGTCCTGCGCCTTCAAGAAAGGAATCTGCGCTATGTGCGGTGTGCGCCTTGTCAATACTACTAACTACAATCAGTGTTCTGTATGAGAGGTTTACTCCTCTCGCTCATTTTTTCTGTATTCTCCATCCTATTTCTGTACAAAACTCATTCTGACTTCTGTCTTGTATCAATTTTTAATTTACTGTGGAAGATGGACACTCAAACCACTACCTCCATGTATAGCCACATCGTGCATACTCCCGTATTTTAACTTGAAACTGTTCCCTACTGTAAGGAAAAATAACAGTTCTGTGTTAGAGGGTTCTAATTATGTTTACTTTATTCCATATTTCTTAAGCTATCAATTATAGGTGCAGGGTAAGCTTTCTGTTCCTTCGGGCTTTGATCTTGATTGTGTATCTGAGGCACAGTAAAAGTGACTAAGGGTTTGAGTACGTGGAGTGCAAAATCTGATCCTTCTCAGACTCTGTGTAGCGGTCTGATTGTATCGTCGATCCAGTTATGATCCTTTTATGGGTCTGTGATCCAGCGAGGGAGGCGGTCCAAAGTGTCAACACTTTAAACGATTGGCAAGAACCTAGCTTGGTTTGGCAATATGCAAAATTTACTCTTTGTTAAAGAACTCCTATCCTCAGTGGTTAAGCCTCTCTTGAAGGCGGTGAGATGCG